AGACAGCAGGAGAGGCGAAGACATCCAGAGACAGGGCCTGGGGAATGTCAGAGCAGGTGGGGGGCCACATGGGGACTTGCGTGGAGGGGTGCTGGGAGAGGGGGAACCTGAGTTTGAGTCTCACTACCCTGCAGCAAAGACCCATGCCTGTGCCCGCTTTCATGGAAGCCTCAGTTCCCCACTTGGCAAAAATTATAGTTTCTGGTGGGCTGTTTGGTGGTACTAGGCCTCGGTTTCTCCATCTGAAAAATGGGTAGAGGAAGATTGGAAACATTGGGTGAGCTCTATGTTGGCAAGCTCTATGTCTCGATGATGCCCTCATAATGGAAGGCAGGACAGCTGTTCCTCTTGGCACCTTCCTTTCTGACTCCCTCATTTTATACCTTTTAGCAGTTATCGGCCCAGCAAGCTTCACTAACCACGGGTGTTCAGAGGAAGGCTGAGAAAGACCCAGGCTCTGGGATCTTAGGGGCAGCCTCCCAAAGTGGTGTAATTGGGCCAGATACCATGGCTCACACTTGTAATCCCAGCACTTTCAGAGGCTGAGGCAGGAGGGTCACTTGAGTCCAGGAGTTCAAGACCAGCCAGGGCAACATAAGGAAACCCCATCTCTCCAGAAAATACATTAGCCTGGGCGTGGGGGCGTGCATCCCAGCTACTCGGGAGGCCGAGGTAGGAGGATCCCTTGAGCCCAGGAGGTTGAGGTTGCAACGAGCTAGGATTGTGCCACTGCACTCCAGCCTGGGCAACACAGTGAAATCCTGTCTCAAAAAAAACAAAAAACAAAAAAAAAGGAGCAGAGAGTTGCGTCTGACTCCATGCCTCAGTTTCCCCGTTTGTCCCTAAGGTCGTCAGGGAGCGGGTCCCAGCACGAGGCGGGGCCGATGCGTCCTTTGCCCCCTCCCCGCTGGGCCCCGCCCCTGCAGCTGTCCAGAAAAGGTCCCGCGCAGCCGGCTCTTGGTCCAGCCTCCACGCGGTCTTGGCGATGCAGGGCCCCCCCGCGCCCGCCCCGGCCCCCGGGCCCGGCTCCCCTCGGGGCTCCCCTCGCGGCTCCCCGGGGCTCTTCAGGAAGCTTTTGGTGAATCAGAGCATCCGCCTGCAGCGGCGCTTCACAGTGGCCCATCCGCTGTGGTGAGGCGGGACAGAGGGCCTGGCGGGGTCACCGTGACGCCCGGTGTGGAGGGGGGAACGGCAGGGACAGGGACAAGGGCAGGGACAGCTGAGACCGGGGCCGGGGTCAGGGCATGGGCGCTCTGCGTCTCCCTTGCTTTCTCTGCATCTCTCTCCCCCATTCTACTCTACCTCTGTCTTGCAGTTGGCGACTCTGTCTCTGTCTCTGTCTGTCTCCACCCGCCGCCTTAACATAGGCCCAGGGGACCAGCCGTCTGTCCGCTTCCAGCTGTGCGGCCCAGAGTGGGACGGGCTGAGGCTCACGTCTCCTCCTGACCCTCACTGGCCTGGGGCAGGCAGGCTGTGCGTCCGAGCAGTGGGAGGAGGGGGAGGGGGCACTCCTCCCCTTGGTGTCCCCTCCCGCCACCATCCCGTCCCCGTGCCAGCAAAGAGATGTCCTGGGGACCTCACTAGGAACCCTGGGTGTCCACAGAGGAAGATCTGAATTGATGGGGTTTTCGAGGCAGGGTGTTAGGGAGCCCCAGGCTGAGCGCGCGCCCGCTCCCCGCAGCTGCTTGCGCTGCATCCTCTAAGTACTCGGTCCACCCCTCTGGTTCGAATCCCTGCCTTTGCAGAAACGGCTGTGAACTCGTGGGGCGGGGTGCCGGCGAGGCTGGGGTTCGGAGTGGGGCTTGTGGGCGCCGGCTGTGGCTGGCACCCTGCGCTCGGTCCGCGCCGAATTGGCACCCACTTGGTAAGTCTGGCACGCAGTCTGGCTGAGAGGGGAGGTCTCCCCGTAAGGTCACAGCTGGGGTTGGAAGGAGACGGCGTGATGGTGGTTCCTGTGATTCCTTTCAGCCAGGGAATAGGGGAGTGGGGGGTTCCGAGAGCAATCTGGGGCACCAAACACCAGCGAAGCTCCGTCCCTTCTGAAGGCGCTGGAGAGAGTGCAGGGGCGTCGAGGGCGCATCGCGGGTACCCTGAAGTGAGGATGAACAAGGGCGGGCCCTGCGCAGACCGGATCCGAACGAATCCAGTCCGACCTCCCTGCCTCAGTTTACCCGCCTTGCCAAAAGGCAGCCGCACCGTTCCCACAGCCGGGGCGCCCTACCCCCGCGCCGCCCGCGTCATGGAACCACAGCCTGACCCCGCCGCTCCTGGCTAAGTTTAGAGCAGAAAGAAAAACAGCCTCCCCCGCCCCAAGAAAAACCCAGCCCTTAACCCTCCGCGCCCGGGATCTGGATTTGCACACCTTGTGGCCGCTCCTGGCCTTAGTTTCCCTATTTGTCTGCAGGCGGCCTTTCCTGGAATCCTTGGGGGAGAGGCGAGAGAGGAGTAGGGGGTCGCCACCCGCATGTCTCACCACCCGCATTCCCCTCGATGGGCAGATTTGGAGTATCCGCCGCTTCCAGTACGCCCCTAAGAGCGTCTCCGGTAGTGCCACTGCGCCCACGGCGCGCCTCAGACTGGGCAGGGAAGGGTTAAGAAGCCCCGCCCCCTCGGCTGGCCCGGGGCTTTTCTCGGTGCCGCCAAATCCGCAGGAGCCTGACGGAACATGCCGAGCGCGGCCGGTCGCAGTCGGAGATACCCGAACTAACCCCAGTGTAGCTGGACGTGACCCATACGCCCGACTCGGCCCGAGCGTCACCCGGACTTGTTCGAAGTAAACCGAGTTTAACCGGACGTAGGCGAACAAACTCGAACTTTCCCGAGCTCAGTCGGACGTAACCGAATCCACCCGAACTCTTGACAGACTCTTCTGGACCAAGTCCAGCTCGATGTGATCAGATCCAACTCAGACCCGGTCCTACTTGACTAAGCCGGACCCAATGCTGCCGAACCCCCACCTCTACCCATATCTGAGCCTACGCGGGGGTGCCGACCCCGCCCGTGGACGGGGATAGGGTGACCTTTGACCCAAAGTTCATGGCCCGGACCAGCTGGACACTGGTCCTCGGCCGGGAGCCCAGAGCCTCGGGCCGTCCCCGGTGTCTTCCTGTCGGTGCTGCTTCCGCCCTCTCTTCTTGAAAACCCCAGCCCCAGGTCACCATCTTCCCCTCTTGCACCCCAGTCCTTCCCCGAAGCCCTTTCTCTGACCCCTCAGCCCAAAGAGAAGGGGCCAGAGGATGTGGCCAGAGGGCAGGGCAGGGTTTGAGGGTAGAACCGGACAGGTGGTGCGGAGAAGGAGGAGGGTGCTCCAGGCAGACGGCACGGCCTGTGCAAAGGCCTGGAGGTGGAAGAGAACGTTGGCGGAACGTTGAGGCTGAAGATGAAGTGGAGGAGTAGGGGAGCCGAGAGCAGGACCCTGCGAGCTGGGGGCGTGGTCGATGGTCATGGGCTGAGAGTGGAGCCTGGAGCTCTGGGGGCGTGGCAGGTGGTCAAGGGTGTGGTCAAGCTGGCTGGGAGTGGGGTCTCTCTAGACCGTAAAACTCGCAGGAGCTAGGCAGGACCCCGGTCTCCTCCAGGTAGTAGAGCCCAGGAAACTATTTCCAGTCCACGTGTCTACCATAGGAGGCAGATCTGTTTGTCTCTGCAATATGGGCATCCAGCGGCAGTCTTCGGATGTTGTAACCTCCTCGAAGAGCTCTCAGGGATGGGCTACATCATGCACATATTAGAAACAGGGGAGGCCGGGCGCGGTGGCTCACGCCTGTAATAGCACTTTGGGAGGCCCAGGAGGGTGGATCACGAGGTTAGGAGTTCATGAGCAGCCTGGCCAACGCGATGAGACCCCCGTCTCTACTAAAAAAAACACAAATTAGCTGGGCGTGGTGGCGCGCACCTGCAATCCCAGCTACTCCGGAGGCTGAGGCAGAAGAACTGCTTGAACCCGGGAGGCGGAGGTTGCAGTGGGCCGAGATCGCGCCGCCACTGCCCTCCAGCTCAGGCAACAGAGCGAGACTCCATCTCAATAAAGAAATAAGAAAAGAAGAGAAGAAAGAAGAAGAAGAAAGAAGAAGAAGAAGAAGAAGAGGAAGAAGAAGAGGAAAAAAAAAAAAAAAAAACAGGGGAGGCCAGGTGTAGTGGCTCATGACTGTAATCCCGACACTTTGGGAAGCCGAGGTGGGAGAATTGCTTGAGGCCAGGAGTTCAAGACCAGGATGGCTTGAGCTTAGGAGGGTCGAGGCTGCAGTGAGCTAGGATCACACCACTGCACTGCAGCCTGGGTGACAGAGTGGGAACCTGTCAAAAAAAAAAAAAAAAAAGGCCGGGCATGGTGGCTCAAGCCTGTAATCCCAGCACTTTGGGAGGCTGAGGCGGGTGGATCACGAGGTCAAGAGATTGAGACCATCCTGGTCAAATGGTGAAACCCCGTCTCTACTAAAGATACAAAAAATTATCTGGGCATGGTGGCGCGTGCCTGTAATCCCAGCTACTCAGGAGGCTGAGGCAGGAGAATTGCCTGAACCCAGGAGGCGGAGGTTGTGGTGAGCCGAGATCGCGCCATTGCACTCCAGCCTGGGAAACAAGAGTGAAACTCCGTCTCAAAAAAAAAAAAAAAAAAAAAAAAGAAGAAAAGAAAAGAAAGAGTGGGCAAGCAACTAAGAGAGAGAGAGAGAGACAAAAAAAAAAAAATATATATATATATATATATATATAAAAGAAACAGGGAGGTTGAGGTCCAGAGAAAGGCAATACCTGTCCGTAGCCACACAGCCACTTTGAGGAAGATCTGGAACTCAGGTCCTGGAGTCCAGTGTAGACTTGAAGACCAAAGTGTGAGTGCAGGGTTCCTGACGGTGAGGCTGGGGGCGGGTGAACAAGCTAGAAACCACACCTGCCTCACTGCCAAGCAGCCCCAGGGAAGACTCACCAGACCAGGGACAGGCCAAGACCCAGCACCCCGTTGTCATGACCCTGGTCTCTGACCATGCCTTCTCTCCTTTCAGCTTTGACCTGGAAAATGGGCTCTCAAGTGGGAGGAGCGCTCTGGACCCTCAGTCCAGCCCTGGCCTGGGCCGGGTCGTGCAGGCTCCTGTCCACCACAGCCAGCGCCGTGAGTCCTTCCTGTACCGCTCAGATAGCGACTATGATCTCTCACCCAAGGCCATGTCTCGGAACTCCTCTGTGGCCAGCGACCTGTGAGCCTGGGGTTGGTGGGATGACCCCTCCTCTACCATCCCTCCTTCCTTTGTTCCTCTATTCAGCAAGCTCCTTCAAGTAGCCATTTAAGGATGGTTTTGAAGTTTAAGTAGGAGTTTGCCAGGCAGCTCATTTATTCAATCAAGTGTGTAGAGAACTTGGCATTTTGCTGGGGTGAAGGTGGTAATCCAAAACATTAAGGTCATCTGGACACAGTGGCTCACGCCTGTAATCCCAGCACTTTGGGAGGCTGAGGTGGGCAGGTCACTTGAGGTCAGGAGTTCGGGACCAGCCTGGCCAACATGGTGAAGCCCCATCTCTACTAAAAAATACAAAAATTAGCTAGGCATGGTGGCACGCACCTGTAGTCCTAGCTACTCAGGAGGCTGAGGCATGAGAATAGCTTGAATCCAGGAGGCGGAGGTTGCAGTGAATGAAGATCACACCACTGCACTCCAGCCTGGGTGATAGAGCAAGACTGCCTCAAAAAACAAACACATTAAGGCCAATTAGCAGCAAATGAAGAAATACTTTGATTTGAGCTTCCTAGTAGACATAATGAAAAGGGAAATACCTACTTGCCACTGGGACTCAGTTTTCTCATTTATAAGATACCAATAAAGTGAGTGAATGGTTGGAGGGGCTTTGGTGGGTCTAAGGGAGAGTCACATGAGGGGAGCCCAGAGACTAAGGAGGCACCTGGAGAAGTCCTGAGAGCAGGGCCTCTTCAGCTGAGGGCGTGGTGTGGGTAAAAGCTGGAAGACGGGAGAGAGCTCTTCCTGATGGCCCGTCTCCTCGCAGACATGGAGAAGATATGATTGTGACGCCCTTTGCCCAGGTGGGTATCCCCTGCCCTCCCTGCCCTGACCCTCTCCGGATCCGACCTCTTCTTCCCAGTGCCTACCACCGCCTCCCAACAGGTGCTGGCCAGTCTGCGGACGGTTCGGAGCAACGTGGCGGTCCTTGCCCACCAGCAAAGCCGAGGAGCAGCCAAGTAGGTAGAGGGCAGGGCCGGCAGAGACAAGGTGGGCGGGGAGGGGGCGGGACCGGAAGAAGGCAGAGGCGGGGCCTGGCAGAAAGCGGGATTCAAGTTGAGGTTGGGGCTCTGGCGCCTCCAGGTAGGTGGAAGGGGCGGGACCTGGAGGATTTGGGGGCGGGGCGAGATGGGCGGGGAAGCCACACCTGAGGCTGCTGTACCGCAGGCAGGGACCCGTCGGAAACCTTTCAACCAGCCATCAGCCCGCTCCGCCTGCAGGTAATGCACCCGTTCCTTCCCTCCCCCGCTGAGGACAGCTGGGAGTTTCCTTTCTATAGCGACCTCCCCAGTCCATGAGCCCTTAGACTGGGGATAATTGTAGCCCCGTCCCCGCAAAAATCAAACAACACCCTCGGGGATGGACCCCACCACAACCACATTACACATGGGGACGCTGAGGCCCATCGACCTGCTCATGGTCACACGGTTACACAGTCACTTATGGGACAGATCTGGAAGTTGAGTCCAGGGGTCCTAGGGGGGCCCCAGTTTCAGGGTCCAGATGCAGAGACGAAGGTGTGAGGGGCTTGGGGCCCCCGAGTGGGGGTGGAGCAGGCCCCTGACTGCCTCGGCTCCCAGAGGACACGGGGCAGAAGCTGGCATTGGAGACGCTAGACGAGCTGGACTGGTGCTTGGATCAGCTGGAGACCCTGCAGACCCGGCACTCTGTGGGGGAGATGGCTTCCAACAAGGTGAGCAGGGGCAGATTGCTGAGCCCACCTGCCTCGGCCCATGGTGCCCCATTGCCACTGTCTTCACCTTCCCTCCACCCCAGTTCAAGCGGATCCTGAACCGGGAGTTGACTCACCTGTCCGAAACCAGCCGCTCCGGGAACCAGGTGTCGGAGTACATCTCCCAGACCTTCCTGGGTGAGCTTTGTTGAGTCACTGCATGGACAAGATTATAGGAGTACTAAGAAACTAGAGGAAGAAAGATTTCTGGCTGGGTGCGGTGGCTCACGCCTGTAATCCCAGCACTTTGGGAGGCCGAAGCGGGCAGATCATGAGGTCAGGAGTTTGAGGTCAGCCTGGCCAACATGGTGAAACCCCATCTCTACTAAAAATACAAAAAAAAAAAAAAAAAAAAAATTAGCCGGGCGTGGTGGCATTGCCTGTAGTCCCATCTACTCGGGAGGCTGAGGCAGAAGAATCGCTTGAACCTGGGAGGTGTAGGTTGCTGTGAGCCAAGATCGCACCACTGCACTCCAGCTTGGGCAACAGAGTGAGACTCCGTGTCAAAAAAAAAAAAAAGAGAAAGAAAGATTTCTATTATAGACCTCCGTTTTCGGGAGATGGGGAGATACAGCCAGACACAGACACTCAGCCCCGTGAGTCAGGGCTGGATCAGAGGGAGAAACAAGGGGAACTTCCAGGAGCAGGGGATATTAAAGCTGGGGCTTTGAAGCATGAGTAGAAATTTGCCTAGGAAGAGATGGAGAGATCCGGACACCAGCCTGGGAGATGGAAAGAACTGTTTAGGGGAAATGCTGAGCCCCAGGCACCCAGGGGCCATGCCTAGCAGAAGGGTTCACTGAGATCAGCTGTGAACAGAGAAGGGTAGGTAGCTACAAGGAGGACAGGGTCTTTTTTTTTTTTTTTTTTTTTTGAGACAGAGTTTTGCTTTGTTGCCCAGATGGGAGTGCAGTGGTGCAATCTCAGCCACTACAACCTCCGCCTCCTGGATTCAAGCAGTTCTCCTGCCTCAGCCTCCTGAGTGGCTGCGATTACAGGCTCCCACCACACCCAGCTAATTTTTGTATTTTTAGTAGAGACGGGGTTTCACCATGTTGGCCAGGCTGGTCTCGAATTCCTGACCTCAGGTGATTCACCTTCCTCGGCCTCCCAAAGTGCTGGGGTTACAGGCATGAGCCCCTGCACCCGGCCTTAATTTTTGTATTTTTAGTAGAGATGAAATTTCACCATATTGCTCAGGCTGGTCTCAAACTTCTGACCTCAAGTGATCCGCCCACATCAGCCTCCCAAATCGCTGGGATTCCAGGGCACTGTGCCCGGCCGAAAGGGTCCTTACTCCAAACTTACTTTGTTTCCTGTAGAAAGGGAAATAGATTGATCCTGGGGTTTTGCGAAGTTCAGGTCGTGAGGCCAGGCGGGACCACCCAGCAGGTGGAATCGGCTTCTCTGAGCCTCACCCTGCCCCATCTACAGACCAGCAGACTGAGGTGGAGCTGCCCACAGTGACCGCTGAGGAGCCTCCGAAGCCCGTGTCCCAGATCAGCGGCCTACATGGGCTCTGCCACAGTGCCAGCCTCTCCTCAGCCACCGTCCCACGCTTTGGGGTCCAGACTGAGCAGGAGGAGCTGCTGGCAAAGGTGGGTCTCCAACCACAATGCCAAGGTCAAAGTTTGGTCCTTAGCTCGGTCTGGATGTCCTATCTTGGGCCTCAGTTTACCCACCTATATACTGGGCAATGGGGCTTACTGTGGAACCTGGTGTGGGAGGATGGAGGCTCTAGAGTCTGCAGAAGTTGGGCTGGGGTTAATTAAGCTCCAACCCTTCACATCTTAGGAGCTAGAAGACACCAACAAGTGGGGACTTGACGTATTCAAGGTGGCAGAGCTAAGTGGGAACCGGCCGCTCACAGCTATCATATTCAGCATTTTTCAGGTACCTACCCTGCCCTTGGCTTCCAAGGGAAGACTCCTGGGGTTTTCTTTACCCCTTCCTACACCAGAACTCAGGGACACTCAGTTTTCAAATCCTCCCTGACATTTCTGAAGGGGATAATTTGAGCAGGGTATTGAAGGATGAATAGGAGTTCACTCTGGTGAACAGTTTGTTGTCCCGAAGCCTCAGCTCTGGCCCCTGGTCCTGAAGAGGAGAGAAATCTGGAGAGAAGAGCTGGAGACAGACACTCCCAGTCCTGCAGGGTCAGGGCTGGCCCACTGAAGAACAGGGAGCGAGGGAGTTCAGGAGAGCAGGGAGGGCATCTCAGAGGAGTGGGTACTTGAGGCATGGATAGGAGTTCAGAAGAGAGGAGAAGGAATAGGGTGTGCTGCAGCCGCAAGGCCAAGGCCCTGAGCCAGGGTCTGTGATGGACCAGGAGCGGGACCTGCTGAAGACATTCCAGATTCCAGCAGACACACTGGCCACCTACCTGCTGTTGCTGGAGGGTCACTACCATGCTGATGTGGCCTATCACAACAGCCTCCACGCTGCCGACGTGGCCCAGTCCACGCATGTGCTGCTGGCTACACCTGCCCTCGAGGTACCGCGCCATGGCTGCACGCAGGGGGGCGGGTGCAGGGCTCGGAGACCCCGCCCCTCACCACCTGTGCCCTCTGCGCACTCAGGCTGTGTTCACAGACCTGGAAGTCCTGGCTGCCCTCTTTGCAAGCGCCATCCACGATGTGGATCATCCCGGGGTCTCTAACCAGTTTCTGATTAACACCAGTAAGTAGGAGTGGGGAGTGGGTGCAGGAGGGGAGGGGGGCTCTGCCTCCACCCTGTCCGCGGGGATCTCAGGTGGTTCCCATCTGCCCTCAGCCCAGTCTCCCTGTCTATGAAATGGCTATGACAGACTTCCCTCCCTTCAGGGGCTTGGAGCAGGCCTGGGTACATAGTAGGTGCTCAATAAATGAGAGAATAACAAACTGTGGCAGAGCTGATTTGGTTCCACCAAGATCTTTATTTATTATTATTATTTTTGAGACGGAGTCTCACTCTGTCACCAGTCTGGAGTGTAGTGGCGGGATCTTGGCCCACAGCAACCTCTGCCTCCCAGGTTCAAGCAATTCTCCTGCCTCCACCTCCTGAGTAGCTGGGATTACAGGCACGTGCCACCACGCCCAGCTAATTTTTGTATTTTTCTCAGAGACAGGGTTTCACCATCTTGGCCAGGATGGTCTCAATCTCCTGACCTTGTGATTTGCCCACTTCGGCCTCCCAAAGTGCTGGGATTAAAGGTGTGTGCCACCGCGCCCGGCTATTTATTTATTGAGACAGGGTCTTGCTCTGTCACCCAGGCTGGAGTGCAGTGGTGTGACTTCGGCTCACTACAGCCTCCACACCACAGTTCAGCCTATTCTCCAGCCTCAGCCTCTGAAGTAGCTGGGATTACAGGCATGCACCACCATGGCTGGCTAATTTTTGCATTTTTAGTAGAGACAGCGTTTTGCTATGTTGCCCAGGCTGGTCTCGAGTGACCTGCCCACCTCAGCCTCCCAAAGTGCTGGGATTACAGGCATGAGCCACTGCGCCTGGCCAGTTCCACCAGGATCCTAAAGTTTAAGATCCCACGAGGAGTCTAAAAAACTCAGCTGACGGGCAGTTACCGGGCGTCTTTTGTGTGTAAGCCCTGGAGTGCTGGGGGTGAGTGCAGCCTCACTCAAGGAGCCGAGAGGCCAATAAGACAGACTCCGCGGTTTATTTAACCAGCACTTCGAGACTGAGCGCCATGGCTCACACCTGTAATCCCAACACTATGGAGGGCAAGAGGTGGGAGGACTGCTTGAGGCCAGGAGTTCAAGACCAGCCTGGACAATACAGTGAGACCCTGTCTCTCCAATAAAAATAAATAATAAATAAATAGCCAAGGGTGGTGGCACACACCTGTAATCCCAGCTACCCAGGAGGCTGAGATGAGAGGATCGCTCGATGACAGGACCTTGAGGCTGCAGAGAGCCGTGATCGTACCACTGTGCTCCAGTCTGGGTGACAGCAAAACCCTGTCTCTAAAAAGAAAGAAATTAAAAAAGCCATCACTAGGGCCAGGCGCGGTGGCTCACACCTGTAATCTCAGCACTTTAGGAGGCCAAGGTGGGTGGATCACAAGGTCAAGATATCGAGACCATCCTGGCCAACATGGTTAAATCTCGGCTTTACTAAAAATACAAAAATTAGCCAGGCGTGGTGGCACATGCGTAGTCCCAGCTACTCTGGAGTCTGAGGCTGGAAAATTGCTTGAACCTGGGAGGCAGAGGTTGCAGTGAGTCAAGATCGCACCACTGCTCTCCAGCCTGGTGACAGAGCAAGACTCCATATCAAAAAAAAAAGAAAAGAAAAAAGCCGTCACTGAGCACTCACTGTCTCTGGCCATAGTGAGTCCCTCAGGAGACTTCTCAGTCTGGGATAGGCAGGGTGAAACACTGATACCCCCAGCCCTGCAGTCAGAGAAGGCCCAGGAAGCTGGGTGGTTTCTTACAGGAGGGCATGCTAGAGTTGGGCCTTCACCGCATGGGTAGGAGTTCGCTAAGGATTTTCAAAAGCTGCCTGTGGGTAGTGTGGGTGGATCTTGGGGCGCTCAGTCCCATACCCCCACAGACTCAGAGCTGGCGCTTATGTACAACGACGCCTCGGTGCTGGAGAACCACCACCTGGCTGTGGGCTTCAAGCTGCTGCAGGCAGAGAACTGCGACATCTTCCAGAACCTCAGCACCAAGCAGCGACTGAGTCTGCGCAGGATGGTCATTGACATGGTGAGGGCAGGGCAGGAGGCGTGGAGGGGAGGTGCTTCTTCCTCATCTGCAGACAGCAGGGTGGGGCGATATCGGCATGGCCGCCATGTCCCAGGCGTGTCCTCACTCTGAGTCTGTGCTTCCTCGTCTGTGAAATGGGTCAGTGGAGCCAGGAGCAGTGGCTCATGCCTGTAATCCTAGCACTTTGGGAGGCTGAGGTGGGCGAATCACCTGAGGTCCAGAGTTCGAGACCAGCTTGACTAACATGGTGAAACCTCGTCTCTACTAAAAATACAAAAATTAGCTGGGCTTGGTGGTGCGTGCCTGTCGAGTCCCAGCTGCTTGGGAGGCTGAGGCAGGAGAACCACTGGAACCCAAGAGGCAGAGGCTGTAGTGAGCTGAGATCACGTCACTGCACTTCAGCCTGGGTGACAGAGTGAGACTCCATCTAAAAAAAAAAAAAAAAAAAAAGGCTGGGCAGGGGTGGCTCACACCTGTAATCTCAGCACTTTGGGAGGCTGAGGCAGGTGGTGGATCACGAGATCAGCAGTTCAAGACCAGCCTGACCAACATGGTGAAAACACCGTCTCTACCAAAAATACAAAAATAGCTGGGCATGGTGGCATGCACCTGTAATCCCAGCTACTTGGGAGGCTGAGGCAGAAGAATCGCTTAGACCTGGGAGGCAGAGGTCGCAGTGAGTTGAGATCGCACCACTGCACTCCAGCCTGGGCGACAGAGTGAGCCTTTGTCTCAAAAAGAAAAAAAAAAAAAAGAAAAAAATTAAGCACATCCGTCCATTTGATTTTTTTTTTAGGTAGGGGCACACCAGTAGGTTTGGGGTCTCATGCCTCATTCATTCACTTAACAAGCATTTACTGAGCACCTACTGTGCGCTTGATCTGTGCAAAGACAGTTCCAGCCTTCATGAAATTCGTGATCTGTGGTAGCTGCGACTGCAGACCCGCAGGCAGAGCAGTGAGGAGGGAGGTTCAAGGTGCTTTCGGAACCCAGGAAAGCCAAAGAGGTCAGAGAGGCCTTCCAGGAGAGGCGACAGTGACGGCAGGGTGTGCAGAAGGAGGAAGGCTGCGGGATGGGGAACGGTGTTCCCAGCAGAGGGAACTACATGTGAGGATGACTCAGAGGAAACCAAGGCGTGGAGTGAGAAAGGGATGAACATTTGGTGAGGTGGAGTTGGGGTCTTTTTTTTTTTTTTTTTAGAGACCGGGTTTCACCACGTTGGCCAGGATGGTCTCCTGACCTCGTGATCCGCCCGCCTCGGCCTCCCAAAGTGCTGGGATTATAGGTGTGAGCCACCACACCCGGCCTGAGTTGGGGTCTTGAGTGGTGGAGGGACCGCATTTGGGACAAATGAGAGATTTGGGGAGAAGTTTTGAGACTTTTATCTGATTCTCAGAGAAGCCTGTGAACTGTATCTGAGTCACTCCTGGCTGGGCTGAGTCCACACACGTTGGGTTAAGCTGTATTTTTTGTTTTGTTTTGGAAACAGAGTCCTGCTCTGTCACTCAGACTGCAGACTGGAGTGCAGTGGCGCGATCCCTGCTCACTGCAAACTCTGCCTCCCAGTTCAAGCGATTCTCCTGCCTCAGTCTCCTGAGTAGCTGGGATTACACGCATGCACCACCATGCCCAGCTAATTTTGTATTTTTAGTAGAGACAGGGTTTCACCATGTTGGTCAGGCTGGTCTCGAACTTCTGACCTCAGGTGATCTGCCCACCTCAACCTCCCAAAGTGCTGGGAATACAGGCATGAGCCATCGTGCCCGGCCAGGTTAATTTGGTTTTTAAACATCTGTGCTCAGAGTTAGAAATAGCTCTCCAGGGCACATGGCGGCCACATGGAAGTTTCAGGGGTATGAAGTCACATACCTTCTCACAGTGAGCTGCAAACTCCCCTGTGTCTCCAGTGACCTCTGGACAAGGTTCTCCAGCTGCCAGAGGCCCTCAGCCTCCTCAATCTCGAGTCCATCTCTTATGAGCTCACTTCTTCCAGCCACAAGCCCCTCTTCTAGGTCCCTCCCATGTACCTAACTCTCCCAGCCCCCAGGACCTTTGCACAGACCTCATCCTCCCCACTGTCCTCAGGCACAAGTCACCTCAGCCTCTAAGCAGTCCTGTGGGGTCAGAGTTGGGATTGGAGGAGGCCAGAAGGGTCAACACAGGCATCCTAGAGGATGGGTTATTTGAAAAGGGTTTTGAAAGATGAGTAGGAGTTGGGAAGCAGCATTCCAGGCGGAAGGAACAACCTGGCTAAATATCTAGAGGCTGGATTGGTTCTAGGGTTTGCTGTGACTCACCAAATGCCTACCTGCCCCACCCGCCCCACAGGTGGGTTTCATTGACGACATTGCCCACCCACTATGGGAGGCTTGGGCTGACAAGTCCCAGACACACAGGTTTGATCACCTCCCTCCTACACCCTGTCACACATGTGGAATTCACGGCCAACCCAAACAACCTCCCAAAAGGGGTCCCTGACTGAGCCCCTCTTGTGAGCAGGGTTTGCAGTGAATGCCATTGGCTCCTCTCGTTTCACAGATGAGGATGCTGAGGCCTAGCGGGCTCTCTCAGCCGGAGCAGCGTCTGGGAGTTGGGAGTGAGGGTCGGGGAGGGCAGGGTCCTCGTGCCTGTCACCGTCCCTTGCCTGCCCCCAGGTGCTGGCCACGGACATGTCCAAACACATGAACCTCCTGGCCGATCTCAAGACCATGGTAGAGACCAAGAAGGTGACAAGCCTCGGCGTCCTCCTCCTGGACAACTATCCCGATCGTATCCAGGTGTGTAGCTGGGCAGGCACTGGGGCCTCCTTTTCAAATTTTGGTTTTACATTAAAAACAATTTTAGCCAGGCTTCTTACACATTTAGTTTGAGAGAAGGCTAGACGCAGTGGCGCATGCCTGTAATCCTAGCATTTAGGGAGGCCAAGGTGTGAGGATCCCTTGAGGCCAGGAGTTAGAGAGAGGCTGCACTGAGCTGTAACTGCTCTATTGCACTCCAGCCTGGGCAACAGAGTGAAACCTTGTCTCCAAACAAACAAACAAACAAACAATAACCTGGGCATGGTGGCTCATGCTTGTAATCCCAGCACACTGGGAGGCCGAGGTGGGTGGGTCACAAGATCAGGAGTTCAAGACCAGCCTGGCCAACATGGTGAAACTCTGTCTCTACTAAAAATACAAAAAATTAGCCACGCGTGGTGGCATGCACCTGTAGTCCCAGCTACTCAGGAGGCTGAGGCAGGAGAACCGCTTGAACCCAGGAGGCAGAGGTGGCAGTGATATGAGATCGCGGCATCGCACGCCAGCCTGGGCAACAGAACAAGACTCTCACCTGTAATCTTGGCACTTTGGGAGGCCGAGGAGGGTGGATCACCTGAGGCTGGGGGTTTGAGACGAGGCTGGGGGTTTGAGACCCGCCTGACCAACATGGAGAAACCCCATCTCTACTAAAAATACAAAATTAGCTGGGCATGATGGTGCATGCCTGTAATCCCACTTGGGAGGCTGAGGCAGGAGAATCGCTTGAACTGGGGAGGCGGAGGTTGCGGGGTGAGCCGAGATTGAGCCATTGCACTCCAGCTTGGGTAACAAGAACAAAACTCTGTCTCAAAAATAAATAAATAAGGCTGGGCTCGGTGGCTCACACCTGTAATCCTGGCACTTTGAGAGGCTGAGATGGGCGGATTGCTTGAACTCAGGAGTTCGAGACCAGCCTGGGCAAAACACCATCTCTACAAAAATATAAAAAGTAGCCGGGTGTGGTGGTGCATGCCTTTAGTTCCAGCTACTCAGGAGGCTGGGCTGGGAGGATTGTTTGACCCCGGGAGGCAGAGGTTGCAGTGAGCAGAGATCTCGCCACTGCACTCCAGCCTAGGTGACAGAGTGAGACCCTGTCTCACTGAAAAAAAAAGTGGGAGAGGACCTCCTTTCTGCAGTTCTCATTTAGCTTCATTTATGAAGAGGCGACTGCACACCAAACTTGAAGAAATGGCAAGTCACAAGCCTGTGCCTCAACCACTTCTTCAGCTCCCGGCCTCAGTTTCCCCACTTGTAGGATGGATGTGTCCATGGCACCAAACCTGTCTGTGGGGGGGGCCAGGTCTAGGCGTGGCTGGGCCCCGCCAGTGCCCTCCCGAGCCTCCATCTCTGCAGGTCTTGCAGAGCCTGGTGCACTGTGCCGACCTGAGCAACCCCACCAAGCCGCTGCCCCTGTACCGCCAGTGGACAGACCGCATCATGGCTGAGTTCTTCCAGCAGGGAGACCGCGAGCGTGAGTCGGGCCTGGACATCAGCCCCATGTGTGACAAGCACACGGCCTCAGTGGAGAAGTCCCAGGTTGGCAGGGGACTGGGTTGAGCTGGTAGACACTGGGAGGGAGGAGAGGGAGAGGGGCTGAGCCAACCCCACATATACATTCAGCCCTGTGGGGTCAGGGTTGGGGGTGGAGGAGGCCAGAAGGGAGGCATTCTAGAGGATGGGTTATTTGAAGAGGGTTTTGAAGGATGAGTAGGAGTTGGGAAATGGCATTCCAGGCAGAAGGAACAACCTGGCTAAAGATCTGGAGGCTGGATTGGTTCTAGGGTTCCCTGTGACTCACCAGATGCCTACCTGCCCCACCCTGTCCCCCACAGGTGGGTTTCATTGACTACATTGCCCACCCATTGTGGGAGACTTGGGCTGACCTGGTCCACCCAGATGCACAGGACCTGCTGGACACGCTGGAGGACAATCGAGAATGGTACCAGAGCAAAATCCCCCGAAGCCCCTCCAGCCTCACCAACCCCGAGCGGGGCGGGCCTGACAGATTCCAGTTTGGGCTGCCTCTGGAGGAGGCAGAGGAAGAGGAGGAGGAGGAGGAAGAGGAGGGGGAAGAGACAGCTTTAGTCAAAGAGGCCTTGGAGTTGTCTGACACTGAACTGCCCCCCAAAAGCTCAGGAGTTTGAGACTCTGGGGACCTACCCCTTGACAACCAGAGGTCTTAGGGCCAGCCCTGCGTGAACTGTGAGGGCCGTGGGTTGGTGAAACCCTCTGACTTGCAAGCAGACTTTCCAGGAAGACGCCCCATGTGGTCCCTGCTTCACTTTCCCACCCGTTGAGGGAGACAATCAAGCTCTTAGTTTTAGGCAGCGCTCAGGGTCTAATTGGAGGCACCTGGCTGGGGTCCACTCTGACCCCCGGCTTGCCGAAAAGAGCTCTCTAAGGGGCAGCCTCTCACAGTGCCCTTGGGATCTTTCTCCCGGACTTCTCTCCCTGGCGTGGAGAGGTGGTGTCTGCTAGAGCCTCTTGTCCATCCTCTCCAGTGGTCACTCTTGAGCCACATCTCATTTAATTCTTTCCTTCTTTATCAAATATTTATTGCCCATTTACTTAGTGCCAGCGTTATGCCTCTGTAGCAGGCCTGCACAAGGGGTGGGGAGTCAGGAGACCATTCCAAAGGCATCTCCCTATCTTCCTCTACCAAGCAGCTCTCTGCAAGAGCATGAGACGGCAAATGGGGGTATTTTCGGCACCAAAGCTTCATTCATACCCAATGTTGTTTCTGAAGCTGTGGTAGGAAGCAGGAAGGGGGCAGAAAAGAGAGGCTGGGCAAGGTGTGGAGGCTCATGCCTGTAATCCCAGCACTGTGGGAGGCTGAGGTGTGAGTACTGCTTGAGCTCAGGAGTTTGAGACCAGCCTGGGCAACACAGCAAGACCCCCGTATCTGCAAAACATAAAAAATTAGCCAGGCATGGTGGTGTGCACCTGTAGTCCCAGCCACTCAGAAGGCTGAGACAAAGATGATTGCTTGAGCCCAGGAGTTGGGGGCTGAAGAGACTTATGACTGTACCACTGCACTCCAGCCTGGGCAACACAGCAAGACCCTGCCTCAAAAAAAAAAAAAAAAAAAAAAAAAGAGAGGGGGCTCTGAGGCTGGGCGCGGTGGCTCACACCTATAATCCCAGCACTTTGAGAGGCCGAGGCGGGCGAATCACCTGAGGTTAGGAGTTTGAGACCAGCCTGGCCGACATGGTGAAACCCCATCTCTACTCAAAATACAAAAATTCGCCAGGCGTGGTGGTGGGCACCTGTAATCCCAGTTACTTGGGAGGCTGAGGCAGTAGAATCGCTTGAACTCAAGAGGCTTGTGGTGAGCTGAGATAGCACCATTGCACTCCAGCCTGGGCGACAGAGCGAGACTCCGTCTCAAAAAAAAAAATAATTTGCCAGGCACGGTGGCTAACGCCTGTAATCCCAGCACTTTGGGAGGCTGAGGTGGGTGGATCGTCTGAGGTCAGGACTTCGAAACCAGCCTGGCCAATATAGTGAAACCCCACATCTACTAAAAATACAAAAAATTAGCTGGGCATGATGGTGGGTGCCTGTAATCCCAGCTACTAGGGAGGCCAAGGCAGGAGAATTACTTGAACCCAGGAGGCAGAGGTTGCAGTGAGCCAAGATTGTGCCATTGCACTCCAGCCTGGGTAACAACATCAAAACTCCGTCTCAAGAAAGAAGGAGAGGAAGAAAGAAAGAAAGAAAGAAGGAAGAAAGGAAGGAGGGAGGGAGGGAAGGAAGGAAGGAAGGTCGCTGTGCCCGGCATATCTCTGAAGACTGATTTAACCTATGCCCCAGTTGTTGCTTTAAGTCGCTATGTTTTCTGTCTTCGGTGTCTGGATGTAGGAGCTCCCTGCTTTCTCTGTCCTCGGGACCCCATGCTGGGTCCCCCACACATTCCTCCTTCTCTAGGACAGCAACAAAAACACACAATTGTTCCTCCTAGCAGGTCTCTAAGTCTCCTGATTCCTGAAACTGCTCCCCCTAGAGGGAGGGAGGCCCCAGAGGCTTTCTTGCCATCATAGCCCATCCTGGGCCTCAGTTTCCCCTCTGTAACCTGATCCTAGCACTTGCACAAACTCTGATTGGAGGTTGGGGGTTGTTGTCTGTGACCTCCCTGAAATATCCTAGACATTTGGGGTACTGAGCACTTCTTTGGGATTAAATAAAATCTTTACATCTTAAACATTTGATTGACCAAATTGAGTATCCTAGCCGTTTCACGGATGGGGAAACTAAGGTGTAGAGCGGTCCTATTGCCAGCTCAGTCACCATCTGGGTACCCAATGTTAGCCAGCGGCGCCCCCTGGTGGCAGGCTTGGGACAGGCGGGACGCGCTAGTCGGGAGTTGGAGGGTGGGTCGGTGGGCGGCATCTTCCCGCCCTGATGCTTTCACCTATCGCACCTCGCCGGGAACAGCTCGTCCTGCTGGCCAGGCCTCCGAGCGGACTGGGCGGCACCGTGCTCAAGCCTCGGGTTTGATCCTCGCCTCCCGAAGCCTCAGTATCCGCCCCTCCCCTCTGCCTCCCTCCTCGAGTGCCTGAGAATTTATACAAGATACAGGCGTCATCACAGCCGCCTTCGGCTTCCAGCGCAGCTGGCTTCGTTCGTAAATATTATAACCACTCCGAATTCATCATAATCACAGTTAATGATAAAATTCCACAGTGCCAGAGCTAAAAGTCATCCGGGATCACGAACTTGGTGTGTTTCCTTCCAGCCTTTTATTTTTATTTTATTTTATTTTTTGAGACGGAGTTTGGCTCTTGTTACCCAGGCTGGAGCGCAATGGCGCGATCCCGGCTCACTGCAACCTCCACCTCCTGGGTTCAGGCAATTCTCCTGCCTCAGCCTCCCGAGTAGCTGGGATTACAGGCACGCGCCACCATGCCCAGCTAATTTTTGTATTTTTAGTACAGACGGGGTTTCACCATGTTGACCAGGATGGTCTCGATCTCTTGACCTCGTGATCCACCCGCCTCGGCCTCCCAAAGTGCTGGGATTACAGACGTAAGCCACCGCGCCCAGCCCCCCTTCCAGACTTTTAAACGGCAGAGATTTCGGTTTTTTTTTTTTTTTGTTATTGTTTCAAGATCCCCGCCTCCAGTCCTCTCACAAAGTAATACATGTTCGCTGTAGAAAATTTGGAAAAAACCGAAAATGTATAAAGAAGGAAGTAAAATTCTGTTATAACCACCCATAGATTATCCACCTGCAGTATTTTGACTTATTTTCCTTTGTTTTTTTTTTCTCCATCCATTATAAGATATTCGTATTCTTTTCTTTTCTCTCTCTTCTTCTTTTTCTTTTTATTTATTTATTTATTTTTGAGACGGAGTTTTCCCTCTTGTTACCCAGGCTGGAGTGCAATGGCGCGATCCCGGCTCACTGCAACCTCCGCCTCCTGGGTTCAGGCAATTCTCCTGCCTCAGCCTCCTGAGTAGCTGGGATTACAGGCACGCGCCACCATGCCCAGCTAATTTTTTGTATTTTTAGTAGAGACGGGGTTTCACCATGTTGACCAGGATGGTCTCGATCTCTTGACCTCGTGATCCACCCGCCTCGGCCTCCCAAAGTGCTGGGATTACAGGCTTGAGCCCCGCGCCCGGCCTCTTCTTTTCTTTTTTTTTGAGACGGAGTCTTGCTTTGTTGCCCAGGCTGGAGTACAATGGTGCAATCTGGCTCACTGTAACCTCCACCTCCCGGGTTAAAGAGATTCTCCTGCCTCAGCCTCCCGAGTAGCTGTGATTACAGGTGCCTGCCACCATGCCTGGCTAATTTTTGTGTTTTTAGGAGAGTTGGGGTTTTGCCGTGTTGGTAATGCCAGTCTCGAAATCCTGACCTTGTGATCCATCCACCTCGGCCTCCCAAAGTGCTGGGATTACAGGTGTGAGCCTCCACACCTGGTCTCTTTTCTTTCCTTTTCTTTTTTCTTTCTTTTTTTGTCAGAGTCTCACTCTGGAGTGCAGTGGTGTGATCTCAGCTCACTGCAACCTCCACCTCCCTGGTTCAAGTGATTCTTCTGCCTCAGCCTCCCGAGTAGCTGGGACTTCAGGTGTGTACCACCACATACCGCTAGGATTTCACCATGTTGCCTAGGCTGGTCTCAAATTCCTGGCCTCAAGTGATCCACCTGCCTCGGCCTCCCAAAGTGCTGGGATTACAGGCATGAGCCACTGCACCCAGCCCTAGAATATTCATATTTTTTTATAAATGAATATTCGTATGTTCCCCTTCAATTTCAGCCACAGGCTTTTGCCCCTCTCCCCTCACTGACTGCACCTGCTCTGGCCACACTGCAAGCCTGGTCCTACCACAGGCCTTCAGACAAGCCGTGCCCCCTACCTGGAATGCTTCTCTCTCAGCCCCCAGCCTCGCTCGTGGGGTTTTAAGTTAGTGTCTTCTTCCCTGAGAAGTCATCCCTGGGCCCCTATCTGGGATAGTTTTTTTTTTTTTTTTGAGATGGAGTTTCCCTCTTGTTGCCCAGGCTGGAGTGCAATGGTACAATCTCTGCTCACCACAACCTCCGCCTCCCAGGTTCAAGCGATTCTCCTGCCTCAGCCTTCCGAGTAGCTGGGATTACAGGCATAAACCACCACGCCCAGCTAATTTTATATTTTTAGTAGACACAGGATTTCTTCATGTTGGTCAGGCTGGTCTCGAACTCCCGACCTCAGGTGGTCTGCCTGCCTCAGCCTCCCAAAGTGTTGGGATTACAGGCGTGAGCCACCACCCACGCCTGACCTTTGTGTGTGTGTGTGTGCATGTGTGTGACGGTGTTTCCCTCTGTCACCCAGGCTGGAGATCAGTGGAGGCACAATCTCATCACACTGCAGCCTCCGCCTCTCTGGTTCTTTTGATTCTTATGCCTGAGCCTCCCCAGCAGCCTCCCTGGGCAGGCACCACCACACCTGGCTAATTTTTGTATTTTTAGTAGAGATGGGGTTTCGCCATGTTGGCCAGGCTGGTCTTGAACTCCTGACCTGAAGATCAAGGAGTGATCCTCCTGCCTCAGCCTCCCAAAGTGCTGGGATTACAGGTGTGAGCCCCTGCACCTGGCCAAATTTTTACTTTTATTTGTGTGGTGCAGAAGATCGGGTGTGGCCTCAGGGAGGGCTCTGGACTTTCCTGTGGGTGGGGCCAGCAAGGAAGCACAGCCCCTTCTTCTCCCACGGCTCTGTCTCCCGGCCACACAGAAAATGCCCCAAGCCCACAGCCCCTCCCCTAGCTCATCCATTTCTAATTCCAGAGCCCAATGCTGCTCTGGACAATCAAGGGCTTGCATTCTTCTTTAATTTAAATTAAGTATTTTTTTCTGTTTTTTTTTTTTTTTTTTTGAGACGGAGTCTTGCTCTGGTGACATGGCGCGATCTTGGCTCACTGCAACCTCCACCTCCTGGGTTCAAGCGATTCTCCTTAGCCTCCCGCGTAGCTGGCATTACAGGCGACTGCCACCATGCCCGGCTAATTTTGTATTTTTAGTAGAAACGGGGTTTCACCATGTTGGCCAGGCTGGTCTCGAACTCCTAACCTCAGGTGATCCAACCGCCTTGGCCTCCCAAAGTGCTGGAATTACAGGCGTGAGCCACGGCGCCCGGCCAAGTAATTAGTTTTGAGACAGGGTCTCACTCTGATGTCCAGGCTGGAGTGCAGTGGCGCCATACGGTTTCCTACAGCCTCGACCTCCTGGGCTCAAGTGATCCTCCTGCCTCAGGCTGGGGAGTCGCTGGAACCACAGGCACGCACCACCACACCCAGCTTTTAAATTTTTTTGTAGAGATGGGGCCTCCCTATGTTACCCAGGCTGGTCTCCAATTCCTGGGCTCAGGCGATCCTCCCGCTTTGGTCCCCCAAAATGGTGGGAGTACAGGCGTTAGCCGCCGTACGCGGCTATTTTTACTTTAAAATACTAAGTCAGTGACAGAAGCTTCTGCACGTTCTCGTGGCTGACTTTTCCCTTCCTGGGGAAAAAAAAGGCAGGAGGTATTTCTGAGAGCGCCACCCATGTAGGAAGCGTGCCTTTGGGCGATCAGGGAGCTGAGCAGCCTAAAACCTCCTCCCCTCCAAGGGGGCCGCAAGCCGGGCCTGGACCCTCTCCCCTGAAGCCCCCCACAGAGAGCGAACTGGACTGCCGGTGTCCGCGTGGGCGCGAGGGCGGGGAGAATGGGAGGTGGATTTCTTTTTGTTTTATTTTTGTTTTTCGGAACGTTCCCAATTTCTCCGCAGTGGATTCGTGATACTTTTATAGTCCTAGTGGTGGAGGTGGGGGGTGGGGAAGGGAGCAAATATGTTACCCTAAAAAGAAAACAAAAATTTCCCAAATGCAAATGGAGAGGGGACGGGGCGGGCGGGGGGGGCGTCCCAGTACTTCCAGGGTGCTGGGGGCGGGCTGGGGACAGGGTTGGCGGCGGCTGGGCCTCGAGGCGCTAAGTTATTCTGGTCTCTCGGCGCCTCCGCAGCTGGCGAGCTTTTTATAAACAGGAACGAGTTTCCCCCCCCCACCCCAACTCCAGCCCCGCCTACTGTGCGGGGGGAGGGGGAGGATCTAGGGGATCAGGACTCTTCTGGCGACCACACACGCCTGGAGGGTTTGAAAACTGGAGTAGGGGGCGCAGGAGCCCCGGAACGGGGGCTGGGTTTGGGGCTCCTCTCCCCTCCCCACATTCTGAGTTTTTTCCCTGAAGATTTGGAGGAATACACGGTGGAGCATCTTAGCTCCCCAAAGGCCCCATTCTCTCAGGTTTCCTTTCCCAGAATGGAGGGCGGGGCTCTTTCAGCCCCCGGGTCTTTGGACCTGAGCATTGAAGGGCTGGAGGGTTCCCGGAGCATTTACCGCAGGCTTCAAGGGGTTTTCTGCACAGGTCGCTGCTCCTTCCCTACTAAACCTTTTCTTTGAATTTTCCTCTTGATGACGGGGCGCAAGGAGGGGAGGGGGTTCCCAGAGAGTCCACCCGCTCCTTCCTCCTTTTCTGGGAATGGTGGAGAGGAGTGGCTCTCTCGACCTCTATTTCTTCTTTCTATTTTTTAAAACCTCAGAAAAGGGGGAGGGGTGGAGTCTTCACTAGCCCCGCCCTCTTTGGGGGTCTCACGCCTCGGGAATGGGACAGGGGCCCCTCTTGATCCCTGGTTATTCTTGTGTATTTATTTTGAACCCCATATATGTGAGGGCGTAAAACATCTCTTGG